GATGGATTCCTTGATTCTTCTTCCCTTTGCGTCTGCTGGGGCTGGAATGTCCCAAATTGCTTCTTCACTCATTTGTCTAGTGCTTACGCTGGGATGGCAGAAACAGCTGATGACTGAACATCTGTTTCACTCCATGTGGACAGCTTGGGCTTCCTTACAGCATGGCAGTTTCAAGTTAGGCTTTTTATGTAATGTTAAAAAATGAAGACTTTTTAACAAGAAATCCAGCCTGACCTATGATTTATAATAACATTCACTGAAATAGAGCACACCATCCTTCATTTATTTTACCAGTCAAGAAAAATGTGCCACCTATTTGGAAATCCTCTATCAGGCCTGTTTTTTCCTTCCAAGTTTCTTATGCCATTACTCAAATTAATATATAGAGCACTAGTTCTCAATTTTGGCTGCATATTAGAATTAATGGGGAGCTTTAAATAGCTGGACTGTGGCCCAGACCACACCTGTAATCCCAGCACTTTGGGAGGCTGAGGTGGGCGGATTGCTTGAGTTCAGGAGTTTGAGACCAGCCTGAGCAACATGACAAAACCTGTCCCTAACAAAAATACAGAAGTTACCCAAGTGTGATAGCATGTGCCTGCGGTCCCAGCTATGCAGGAGGATTGCTTTACCCAGAAATTCAAGGCTGCAGTGAGCCGTGATTGTGCTACTGTGCTCTAGCCTGGTGACAGGGCGAGACCCAGTCTCAAATAAATAAATAAAAAGCTTGGCCTGAGGCCCAGATGAAACACATTAGAATTTCTAGGAGATGTGGTAACCAAGAATTGGAATTTTATTTTATTTTATTTTTTTGAGACAGAATTTCGCACTTGTTGCCCAGGCTGGAGTGCAATGGCGCAGTCTCAGCTCACTACAACCTCTGCCTCCTGGGTTCAAGCAATTCTCATGCCTCAGCCTCCCAAGTAACTGGGATTACAGGTGCCCGCCACCACACCTGGCTAATTTTTCTATTTTTAGTAGAGACGGGGTTTCACCATGTTGGCCAGGATGGTCTCGAACTCCTGACCTCAGGCGATCCACCCACCTTGGCTTCCCGAAGTACTGGGATTACAGATGTGAGCCACCACGCTCGGGCAGGAATTGGAATTTTAAAAAGGTCCCCAGGTGATTCTAATGTTGACCAAGGTTTAGACCCTCTGATCTAGATGGTGAGTAACTCTTCCATCACCAGCAGCTTCCAGGAGTGTCTCATTAGTGCACAGCTGCCAAAAGTGACCATGGGCAAAGTAACTGGTTGGCCATGTAGGCCAGGTCACGGAATTGTAGGAAACCTTGACTGATGGTGAAAGACTGCCTCCTGTCTTTCCAGGGCTGACTCCTATTCCCCATGGCACCCTCTTCTGTTTTGAAAGTCGGAAGACCACTGAAGAACCTGCAGCCTTCACTCCCTTGCTACAGCCAGAACAATACATCTTTGCACACAGCAGCTGTGGCCAGTGCTAGGTCTGACTCCTACCCTGCCAGTCCTTTCCTCATTGAGCAAAATGGTTTTAAGGACAGAAAACATGGCACTTTGAGGAATAACATAAACAAATCGTCTGCTCACTTCCTAGGGGAAGCTCTGAGACCCTACCAACAATCCTTACCCCATTGGAGCTATTTGCTTCGAAGCTTTTCTCTTTAAGAGCAATGAGGGTCAAACATAAGGAAAGCACTTAGGGAAATTTGACCAACCCTGAATTTCTGGGAGGAAGAAACAGAGGGGTACCCTCAGGAAGGAGGAGGATTGGGGGAGTGTCTGTCTTCGCAAGATCTTGACAAATAATACAAGTGACTAGGGATTTCTCCTAGCACATTAGAGCAGGCAGGACAGACAGGAGGACCCACCCCTTATGCTCCCAGCCAACCTCCCTGCAGCAGAACCTACAACCTTCTTCCCCTTTCTGGATAAGATTTGTTTCTGAGGCTGGAGTCAGTGCCTTCAAACCAACAGCCAAAGATAACCTTGCTAATTATGCCCCTTTCCTTGATCTTTTTTTGAAATGAAATGGTTCTGTTACCGGTAGAGGGTCTTGACACAAATTGTCCAGGTTCTTGGCGTTTTGAACAAAGAACTGGACAAAATGCACAGCAAAGCAAGGTAAGAATGAATCAACAAAAGCAGAGATTTATTGAAAGTACATGCCACAGTGTGGCAGCCGGCCAAGCAGCAGCTTAAGGGCCTGGATGTAGAATCTTCTTGGATCCAAACACCCCCTAGAGGTTTCCCATGGGCCACTTGGTGTTCACTCCACCTAAATTAAGTGGTGTCCCCCAAAAGTGAAGTTACAAAGTTTCACTTCAGTGGTTGCTTTTTGCAACCAATCAGAGGTACTTTCAATTTACCATCTGCCGGTCAGAAAGGGTGGGCGTTGGCAAAGGGAGTAGCCTCTGATACTTTTGTTACTTATGTGTGGAAAAGTTGGGGTTTTTCTTTTGATTTACTTCTAGGAAGTCAGGGTGAATTGGTTTTCAGTTCCCTGCCTCCAGACCCTATTCTGCCTCAGTTCAAATACACAAAACCTAACAAATACCTATATGACCACCATCCACAACTAATCAATGGCAGTGTCTATTTGTTTGACTTTTTTCCCCTATTTTACAAGAAGCAAAAGCACCTATGGACTCTCCATCAGACAGCTATGTGCAGAGTGGCTACTCCAGCATGATGTTCTCAGGGTAACTAGACTTCTTACACCGGCTCCACGTGCTGGTGAGAGAACTTTCTCCCAGCAAACAAGATATAGGTTTCAAGGCCTTTTATGACCCCACCCTGGAGGCCACACCGCATCTGTATTTCATTGTATTTCATTGGTAGCAGTCACAAGCTGCCCAGATACAAGGCAGAGGGACAGACGCCCCACTTCTTGATGGGATGAGTGGCAAAAAACATCTGTGACCATGTTTAAAACCCAGAAGATGCTGGGCGCGGTGGCTCAAGCCTGTAATCCCAGCACTTTGGGAGGCCAAGACGGGCGGATCACGAGGTCAGGAGATCGAGACCATCCTGGCTAACACGGTGAAACCCCGTCTCTACTAAAAAATACAAAAAAAAACTAGCCGGGCGCGGTGGCGGGCGCCTGTAGTCCCAGCTACTCGGGAGGCTGAGGCAGGAGAATGGCATAAACCCGGGAGGCGGAGCTTGCAGTGAGCTGAGATCCGGCCACTGCACTTCAGCCTGGGCGACAGAGCGAGACTCCGTCTCAAAAAAAAAAAAAAAAAAAAAAAACCCAGAAGATTTGGCTGTTACAGATTTGTGAAATTTTTAAAAGTTAAAAATTATTAAAAAAAAAAAAAAAACCCAGGAGACAAGGTAGTGGAAGTGTGTCCCTCCCATTCACTGACCAAGGCGAGGGGCCTCTAGTCCTTCGCTGCTGACCTTCAGCTTCCTTTCCTCTTAAAAAGGGGTCCTAATTGGGGAGAGATGGCTGAAGAGTTACCATAAAATACCAACTAGGAGCCAGGTGCAGTGGCTCACATCTTTAATCCAAGCAGTTTGGGAGGACAAGGTCGGAGGATCGCATGAGCCCAGGAGTTCAAGACAAACCTGGGCAACATAGCAAGGCTCTGTCTCTACAAAAAACGAAAAGAGTACAAAGTAGGGCCATTTAGTATGGTTTTGTTTATTAAAGGTCTTAAGTTTTAGATTTTTGAAGTTATCACCAGTAAAATATCCAGCTGTGGTCTTGTGTTGAGTGTTGAAGATGTTATTTAAATGCAGATATGTAAAATATACCACAATTTTTGTGCTATTTTAATTTTCTAGGAGCCTTAAAAAATGTGTAGCTACTGAAACTGTGCCCCAAAGAGTTAAAGAAATCAGTAACTAACATAAATTATTGAGTCTGCAGGATGGCAGATGAGAAACAACTTGCTGGCCAGGTGCAGTGGCTCACGCCTGTAATCCCAGCACTTTGGGAGGCTGAGGTGGGTGGATGACTTGAGGTCAGGAGTTTGAGGCCCGGCATGTTGGTGGGCGCCTGTAGTCCCAGCTGCTTGGGAGGCTGAGGCAGGAAAATCACTTGAACCTGGGAAGCGGAGGTTGCAGTAAGCCTATATCACACTATTGCACTCCAGCCTGGGTGTTGCAGCTAAACTCCTTCTCAAAAAAAAAAAAAAAAAAAAAAAAAAAAGGAAAAGAGAAGAAACAACTTGCTGAAATGCTGACGAAATGCTGAAATTCCTTCCTTATGAGATAGCAGAACAACAAGCAGAAATCTGTTGGAGCCAATAAGGCTGACTGGAGTCTGCACAGAACGAGCTTGCTGACGTCACAGCCTGAATTTTCACCACAGGTTTCATGCTGTCCCTGAATTTGCACGAGATCCATTATGTAGCCTGAAGAGATAACTGTGAAAGCCCAAGGACTTTCCAGACGTCCGCTTTCCTTCCACTAATTACCTACTAATCTCAGAATCCACCACCTGAACCTTTTCTAATAAAAATAACTGCCTTAAAGTCAACACGGGACAGCTTTGAGCTTGATATTCTTGTCTCCTTGTGAGTCGACTTGGAATACAAAGCTTTTCTTTTTTCAGAAACCCAGTGTCATAGTATTAGCTTCTAGGGTATCAGGCTGGAATGCAGTGGTGCGATCACGGCTCACTGTAGCCTTGATCTCCTGGACTCATGCAGTCCTCCCACCTCAGCCTCCCAAGCAACTAGGACCACAGGCATTTGCCACCATACCTGGCTAATTTTTGTATTTTTTTTTGTAGAAATGGTATCTCACTATGTTGTCCTGGCTGGTCCCATGCTCTTGGGCTCAAGTGATCCTTCTGCCTATGCCTTCCAAAGTGCTGGGAAATGCCTCCCAGACTGGAAATATGGGATGGCTTCCCAGTTGTAAAAACACCGTGATTTGGGAGCTGATTGCTTATAAACACTAAGGAAAAGCTAAGAGCTGAGTTTGCCTTCCCATTCTGTTCTCAGGTTTCTCTCCTTATAGAGAGGTTCTGATCGTCTACAAGTTTGGCTAAATCTGGGGTGTTTCTCTACTGATTTCCTAAATGTTTATAGTCTTTTTTTTGTAAAATTGGTGATTCAATTTTATTCTCCTCTGAAGTAACAATAGATGTAGAGTCAGACATTTCTTCTGCTTTGAAGAATCTGCATTTTCTCTCCTGATCTCAAAACCTGTAAGAAGAAAAGAAATTGCAGATATCACCTTGTCCAAGGAGAAAGAGAGAGGCGGAAAAAAGAGTTGTCTTAAAGTAGTAGAGAGAAAATAGAAACTGCTAAATAGAATCCCAAAGGCTTTTATTCCAAGTAAGGCTGAATTTTTCTTTTCTTTCTTCCTGTTTCTTTCCAGTGAACACTCACCTCTCCTGGAGTCAAGTCATTGTTTCTTTCCTTTGGAATCCTGCTATTCCTGCACCCATGGCTCTTCTCTATGCTCCAATGGGAAGTACAGGTCAGGGTTTGGGACTAGATATACTGGTCATAAGAAATACAGGGAACATGATAGTCTGGGTCACACTGATTTTTCCTGAGTTCAGGCTGATTTCCAGGACAGATGGCCTCTCCATATTCATTTCCTTCTAAATTAGGATTATTTCACCTGGAGCCTCTAACAGGCAGTTGGCTTTTTTTGAGACAGGGTCTTGCAGTGTCTCCCAGGCTGGACTGCAGTGGCACAGTCTCAACTCACTGCAGCCTTGACCTCCCAGCTTAAGGGATCCTCCCACCTTAGCCCCTGGAGTAGCTGGGACCACAGACATGTGCTACCATGTCCTGATAATTTTGAAAAAATTCTGTAGAGAGAAGGGCTCTCTCTGTTGCCCAGGCTGGTCTTGAACTCCGGGCTTAAGCAATCTTCTTGCCTCGGCCTCCCAAAGTGCTAGGATTACAGGTGTGAGCCACTGTGCCTAGCATAACAGGCAGTTTTTCAACATTAGAACAAAATCTAGGAGTGCAAAAGGCTTACTGCAAAAATAATAAACATTAGAACAAAAACAAAATCGGGGGAAGATCCTTTTGTGCTCAATTCAAAGCTATTCTCCAATCTCTGGGAAGAGGAGTGAATTAATTCTGCTAATGTCAATGCACTGATTTAGTTTTACCTCATTTTTTGAATATTTTGATAATAAAATTATCTAAGTTAGAACCAAAATATCAAGTTAATCGTCCTAAAATTCTGACTATATTAAAACTGAGAACTATTCTCTTATTGAATCCAAGAGAAGAGAGAGGTAAATGTGGTAGTTAAACTATGTCCTGGATTAATTTCAGTTAAGAGACTTTCAAATAAGAATTGGTATCTGAGGTCGGGCACAGTGGCTCAAGCCTGTAATCCCAGCACTTTGGGAGGCCAAGACGGGCGGATCATGAGGTCAGGAGATCGAGACCATCCTGGCTAACACGGTGAAACCCCGTCTCTACTAAAAAATACAAAAAAAACTAGCCAGGCGAGGTGGCAGGCAACTATAGTCCCAGCTACTCAGGAGGCTGAGGCAGGAGAATGGCGTAAACCCGGGAGGCAGAGCTTGCAGTGAGCTGAGATCTGGCTGGGCGACAGAGTGAGACTCCATCTCAAAAAAAAAAAAAAAAAAAAAAAAAGAATTGGTATCTGAACTGGTTTGGTTGGCAGCCAGCAAAAACAATCTTTACACGTTTGTTTTAGCTGAAGCCTAGAATTAGATTGTTTTGATATTAACCAAAACAAATATCTAAGAGTGTTTCTATCAATCCAGAAAATTAGTAAAATATTCCCTAGTGTGGTCTCCCACGTGTCCTGCCATGCCTTCCCTGACAAAAGTTTGGGTTGTACCCTCTTTCCAAGTTCTTTCCTCTCCCTCCTCATCTCTGACAGTTTACTGGTCTGAAAAAAAGCAAAACAAAAAACGCCGGGCATGGTGGCTTATGCCTGTAATCCCAGCACTTTGGGAGGCCGAGGCGGGTGGATCACCTGAGGTCGGGAGTTCGAGACCAGCCTGACCAACATGGAGAAACCCTGTCTCTACTAAAAATACAAAATTAGCCGGGCATGGTGGCACATGCCTGTAATCCCAGCTACTAGGGAGGCTGAGGCAGGAGATTCGCTTGAACCTGGGAGGTGGAGGTTGTGGTGAGCCGAGATCCGTGCCATTGCACTCCAGCCTGGGCAACAAGAGCAAAACTCTGTCTCAAAACAAAACAAAAATAGGTTGGTAAATAGTGATCTAATATGCAAATAGAGGAATACGTCTAAATACTAACATTATCAAACAACGTTAGTAAGACAGTTTGGTTAACGTTAATCCAAAGGAAAATTTAAACTCCAGAACATTTAATCAAAATATAAGTGGAGTAAAATGCGTCATATACCTTTTCATGAAGAAAGGTAATATATTTCATATTAATAAAAATAAAATGCATTTCAAATGAAATGCCATTTAAATTTGCTATTTTTTTTATGATCAGATTTCAAAGCTAGGAATAGGATCAAAGAGCATGTGGTACAGGTAAAAGAAAACCCTAAGTCCAATGCTTTGGGAGGCTGAGGCGGGTGGATCACCTGAGGTGAAGAGTTCGAGACCAGCCTGGCCAACATGGCAAAACCCTGTCTCTACTAAAAATACAAAAATTAGCTGGTGTGGGGGTGTGGTGCCTATAATCCCAGCTACTCAGGAGGCTGAGGCAGGAGAATCACTTGAACCCAAGAGGCGGAGGTTGCAGTGAGCTGAGATCCTGCCACTGCACTCCAGCCTGGGTGACAGGGTGAGACTCCAGGTACTGTTCTAAGCATCCTGTGTAGCTCAGCTTATTTCTTCCTAACCCAGTGATATGAGGTGAGGTGTGTATAGTATTCCCTCAAAATAGATGAGGAAACTGAGGTTTGGTGATATTACATAATTTGCCTGAGATTACATAGTAAATGTCAGAAAAAAGTGGTTTTGAGGCTACAGTCTAGAATTTATGTCTCTTGAAATAGGAATGTCTAATGATTGTGCCACTGCACTTCAGCCTGGGCGACAGAGCAAGACCCTATCTCAAAAACTAAAAAACAGGAATGCCTAAAACCACCAGAATGGTCCTAGAGAGCAAACAAGATTTTCCGAACTGGACCTTGAGTGCTATGGGGTCGCTGGCTCTGCATTTGCTACGACAGCCTGTGGATCTGTCATCCTCCCTGGAATATAATAAGAAAAAAAAGGCTGGGCGTGGTGGTTCACGCCTGTAACCCCAGAACAGTGGGAGGCTGAGGTGGGCAAATCACTCGAGGTCAGGAATTGAAGACCAGCCTGGCCAACATGGTGAAACCCCGTCTCTACTAAAAATACAAAAATTAGCTGGGCGTACTGGCAGACACCTGTAATCCCGGCTATTCAGGAGGCTGAGGCAGGAGAATCGCTTGAACCCGGGAGGGGGAGGTTGCAGTCAGCTGAGACTGCGCCATTGAACTCCAGCCTGGGCAACAAGAGCAAAACTCTGTCTCCGAAAAAAATAAAATAAAATAAAATAAAATATCAGTACTCTTTTCACCTAGTCATCCCAAACCGACCTCTTCAATCCCATATTACCCTCTACTATCATGGTAACCTCACCTTTGGTGACAGACTAGCTGTGTGACCCCAGGCAAATGACTTATCTCAGTGCCACCACCTGTTGGAAGGGGCTGGTAATAGCATCTGCTTCATACAAACGTGTTTTCAGGATCGATCTGCATATAAGCGCTGAACACAGGGTAACTGGTTGTCAGATTCAATCCCAGGACGCTTCCATTCGCGGATCTCACGGCCCGGAGGACCTGGGCCGCCTCACAACTGGGCAGCCCCGCTCACCGACACAAAGCTCACAGCCGCGCCCAATAGGGAATCGGCCCTGCGGCCCTCCTGCCACTCGCCCCCAACTATCAAAGTCCACGGCGGAGCTGGAGGCAGACCCCGCCCTTGCTGGGCTGGGCAAGAGACTGAAACTTGGAGAATGCACTGCAGGCGCCGCACGTCTCGGGCAGGTTTAAAATCCGATCTAAAATCGGAAGCAGGTGCCGCGAACCCGGCCCCAAGCGCTCCTCTGGGACGTCCAGCCGCAGAAGAAAGCCCAAAGCCCAGCAGGGGGTCTCCGAGGGACTCGGGGTTGCAGAATCGCCCGGCTCTTGGGCCCTCGCCCAGGGCGCGCGCGCAGTCGCGAGGCCGCGCCGCGGACTGCATCTCCCAGCAGGTCCCGCGCCGCAGGCCACGCGGCGCCACTAACTGGGCGGGCGGCTACCTACCTAGCCTCCCCGAGATGCCGAGGAGGCCGCAGGGGCGAGTGGGACCATCTTTAGCCAGCCCAGAGTAGCCGAAGCGGGTGGGGCCTGGCTTGGGGAAGGATTCATCGGGGGAAGCTTATTAACAATTCAGACTTCCAGGCCTCGCCCCGACACGGACGCACTGGAGAGCGCGTGGCCCTGGGATCTGCGTTTTCCCAAGCCCTCCGGAGTAATTCTAACCCAGGTTGCCCGCCAGTCACAACCGCCTTAGGCTTGTTTTCTTCGCTTGGATCCAGCGGCCCTGCCCCCAGCCACTCCCAGAATCTCAGGACGCGCCCCGTGGCCCCGCTTCTGGTCTCCTATTGGTCCCTCGCTCGTCCCGCCCCCGCAGGCAAATCTTCCCTTCTCATTGGTAGGTGGTGAGTGTGTGGCGAACCCTGACCCAATGGGCGTTGTAGTTCGCAAAACGTGACCCGGAAGTTGGTCACGAGCAGGCGCCGTGGGCTTGTGGACGCCTAACTCCCGCGCTGAGACTTCCGGCGTGGGCGCAGAGGTCTGAGTCCTGCGTGGGTACCCTGTAGGGTGAGAGGCGCGGCGCTCGGTTCCTGTTTGGGGGAATTCCTGGCACGGACGGGCTACCTGGCCGGCGTGGCGGCGCCTGGGACCTACTGAGGCCTAGGCGCCGGAGCCGTCCGCGCCTGGGCTGGAGCGGGGCTCCTTGGCGTGGACTGGGAGCCTCCGGCCCTGGGCTGCAGCCGGCGCCGTCTATCCTTACACGGGTTCAGGGCGCCTTCGTAGGCGGGCACGGCTGGTTTCGGGCTAAGGCGCTCTGGAGACCCGACGATGGCGTCGGGCCCTAGCCCCCAGGAACGGGAAGGGCTCCTGATAGTGAAGCTGGAGGAGGACTGCGCCTGGAGCCAGGAGCTGCCCCCCCCTGACCCAGGGCCGAGCCCCGAGGCCTCCCACTTGCGCTTCAGACGGTTCCGCTTCCAAGAGGCAGCTGGTCCTCGCGAAGCCCTCAGCCGGCTCCAAGAGCTTTGCCATGGGTGGCTTCGGCCTGAGATGCGCACGAAAGAGCAGATCTTGGAGCTGCTGGTGCTGGAGCAGTTCCTGACCATCCTGCCCCAGGAGATCCAGAGCAGGGTGCAGGAGCTGCATCCGGAGAGCGGCGAAGAAGCGGTGACCCTTGTGGAGGATATGCAGAGAGAGCTTGGGAGACTGAGACAACAGGTGAGAGAGAGAGAGAGCTGTTTTGTCTGTGGTTTGTTTAGCCCCGAGGACTGGGACATTGCGCCCCCGGTCGAATTCAAGTAAATTGCCCTGAGTAGACCTTACATGGGGAAGAACACTCATTCTCAGATTTTCCCCAAATGAACAGAAAGCAGTGAAGAGTGCCCTGTTGCCACGCGGAGGCAGTGTCCCTGGAACAGTTAGTGTTAGCTGTGGAGTTAGATCGCCAGCATTCAAATCCTCATCTACTAGTACTAGCTTTGTTACTTTGCCAAGTTACATATGTCTTTCGGCCTGTTTTCCTATTCGTAAAATGAGAATATTAACATACTTTATAGGGCTTACAGGGAGAGCAGCGTGTAAAGTTGTGATAACAGTTTATAATGAGTGCTTAGTACTTGTTAGCTGTTGTTATATTAGGGTCTACGGTCTGGTCTTCTGCAAAGCTGGGCCTCCGTTAATTGTGAACTTTGAAAGATAATTTGGCACCGAGGCCCTGAGGTCATTGGCCCCCAGGGCTACCCCAATTTAGCTTATCCTATAGTGAGGAATAGAAGCACCTAGGAAAGGTGGGGAGAGCAAAAGGGAGTGAGGTGTATCTTAAGAGCTGTGTGGGGAAGGTGTGCTCTGGGAGTGGGCCCTTTCCCTAACCCCTCGCCCTGCACAGGGGATCAAAAAAGCCTTTAGTGTAAACCATTTTTCTGTTGCCTGGGCCCTAAGGGATGGCCTGAGGTTCTCTGTTGAAGGCTTGCTCTCAGTATCCTATACTAATTTCCCTTCCCTTTGGGCCCTGTTGTGATGATGAGTGATGTGGGTTGGTTCCCAGGTCACAAACCATGGGCGGGGAACAGAAGTGCTTTTGGAGGAGCCTTTGCCTCTGGAAACAGCACGAGAGTCACCGAGCTTCAAGCTGGAGCCAATGGAGACTGAGCGAAGCCCTGGCCCCAGGCTGCAGGAGCTGCTAGGCCCCAGCCCCCAAAGGGACCCCCAGGCTGTAAAGGAGAGGGGTGAGGCACAGTTATCTGGGCAGGTGGGATGGAGGAGGGGCTTGGGGGTTGCCCCCGACAGAAGCAGGATGTCGCACTCGTGCGAAGGAGGAATTGCTGAAGTTAAGGTTCACACATGTGGAATGAAAGACCTGCAGTTGGTGGTGTGGGTTCTCCTGGGGCTGGGGGAAGGGAAGGGAGTCTCAGTGGAGCCCTTTTTTATGTAGAACAGAGGCGATTTAGAACCACTTGAATGGTGAGGGGTTTGGAGTGCTACTCTTGGTATTCCTTCCCTCTAACCCTGTCATTTTGGATATCAGTTTATTAGGCCTTTGGGCAGTTTAGTGTCATCCCCAAAAGCAGAGACTGGGTGTTGGGGAATGGATACTGTGTTTTAATAATCCTTGGGTTGCCAAGAGTTAGGAATGCCATTCTCATTATAATTTCTGTCGCCTTCAGCATTGTCTGCTCCCTGGCTTTCTCTTTTTCCTCCTGAAGGGAACATGGAAGACAAGGAGATGACTGGGCCCCAGGTGATGTGGAAGTTTCCATTGTCTTCCCCCAGCACCCTTCCTCTGCTGAGTGTTGGGGGTGGGGGGGTTCTCCACGTGGAAGGTCCTTTCTCCCTTACCACAGCGTCTCCCCCACTGCTTTTGTCTCTTTCACACCTCACTTGTAGACCTGACACCCTTCTTCCCCTATGACATGTGTTTGGCATCCCTGGATTTTGCCCCTTTAACCCATGATTCTGCTTGAATTGTTCTTGGTGCATCAGGGGCTAAAGGAGATCTTGTGCTGTTTCAGTTGCCTGAGAGCTTAGAGGACGTGGCAATGTACATCTCCCAGGAGGAGTGGGGGCATCAGGATCCTAGTAAGAGGGCCCTCTCCAGGGACACGGTGCAGGAGAGTTATGAGAATGTGGACTCATTGGGTAAGGACTTCTTTTCCAGGGATGATGACTGCGCCATTTCTAACCAGGGTTCTGCCCTTTATTCATTCACCTCCTGGACACAGACTCTGAGTTTTGCCAAGAAGCCTCCACAGGAGACTTCCCTTTGTCTAAAGTTCCCTGTATGAGAGTCATGTATCTGCCAAGTGGCACAGTTGGCACAGGCAGCCCTGGACTGGAATCCCAGCTGCCAGAGCCTAAGGCGAGTCTGAGCCATATGGACTTCCCAGGGCAGAGCAAATCCAATGCAGTGACAGCCTGCCAGCGTCACACACATGCAGTGTCCCAGGATGCTGGGGGGCTCTAAATGGTTAATTCCTTGCAATTTTGAGATGCTTATTCTTCTGAGCTTGCCAGTGTTTCCTGTGCTCCGTTACTGTTTCTGGGCTCATCCCCAAAGACAAAAATTTCAGGGGTAGTGGGATCAACATTCCAGCCTATCATCTCTCACAGACCATAAAAATTCAGAAAGCGGGGAGGGTCTTGTGGAAATTTGGAAACAATGTATAGCTCTAAATCATAAATTAGGATGCACCTATGTCTTGTACTGTTACTCAGAGTTTTAAAATTATGCCTGCGGAGTATGACACACTGACATATGGTTGGATTTAGGTGGAGGATATGCTGGTATGTATTATACAATTCCCTCAACTTTTCTGTATGTATGAGAAATTCTTTTAATGAAAAGTTGGGGGAAGTCTTAAGACTGTGTGTACATTATGATTATACCTATGTTGAAACACACCAGTAGAAAGACTCACTGCAGGCTGGGCATGGTGGTGCCTATAATCCCAGCACTTAGGGAGGCTGTGATGGAAGGAGTGCTTGAACCCAGGAGTTCAAGACCAGCCTGGGCAATATAAGGAGACCCTCTATCTTTAAAAAAAAAAAAAAAAAAGTATCCTGGTGTGGTAGTGTGTACTTTTGTAGTCCCAGTTACTCAGGAGGCTGAGGGGAAAATCAATCACCTGAGCCCGGTAGGTCAAGACTGCAGTGAACTATGATGATGCCACTGCACCTCAGCCTAGGTGAGAGTGAGACTCTGTTTCAAAACAAACAAAAAAGACACACTGCACATTGTTACCATATATCAGGTTTGCCTAAAAAGTATCATGATTATACATTTGTTGACACTAATTCTGCAAACGCAGTCTGGGCTCACCATAACCTCTGCCTCCCAGGTTCAAGTGATTCTCCTGCCTCAGCCTCCCAAGTAGCTGGGATTACAGGCATGCGCTACCATGCCTGGCTAATTTTTTGTATTTTTAGTAGAGACGGTTTCTCCATGTTGGTGAGGTTGGTCTTGAACTCCTGATCTCAGGTGAT